CGTGGTATCAAAGAGTCAAACTTGGGCTTGAGACGACCCAAAGACTTGCCAACCTCCCTGAATATTACTAATTTGAGGAGGAACAGGTACTGGGTGAAGGTGGAAAGACCCATATTTCAAGAATGAGTTAATAACTAGAGATGGGGGTATTCGTATTCATATACGAATACGAATACCCCACACAGGTGGACATAATGAAGGTCCGGCCCCATCTGCCTGCTGCCGGAACAGGCTCCGCTCTCCCTTCAAATCGCTCCAGAGCTCCTGATCAACTAGCCACTCCTGGCAGGAGGAGGGAAGACGAGTCTACTTGCCAGGCTGATGAGTGGACAGCCGACCAGGAGCTCTGAGGTGATTGGAAGGGAGAGCAGAGCTGGTGGCAGATGGGTGAGCAGACAGTCCAGCCTCCCTTGTCACGTCCAGCTCTATTAATAACACCTGTGACCAACACACTCCTAAGCAATCTCTTCAAAGTTAAATTCTAACTTGGAACAAACATAGTCAACACTGGGGTGGAGATAATTCAGATAAAATTAGTTGATAGAGCTCTGGTTGACCTCCAGATCACTAAGGAGTTCTGGTTCCTAAATGTTTAATAACAAATATTGTTTTCTCCATCTAAACTATGCCGTTGAAATGAAGAAAGCTTTTTTGATTTTAAAAAAAGAGGAGTGTTCCCTTCTCCGTTGGTACTAAAATCAAATTCCCACAAAGCTCAGGATATGCCCTAAAGCACTCTGTCTTTTTTATTTCTAAATACAGTGGTGCCTCGCAAGACAAGCGCTCCATTTTATGACGAAATCACGTAACGACGAAGTTTTTGCGATCAGGGGAATTTCACTTTGCGATGATCAGTTCCCTGCTTCGGGAACCGAATCTCGCAAAACGATTTTCCTACAGCTGATTGGCGGTTTCAAAATGGCCGCCCGCTGTTTTCTGAAATGGATTCCTTGCTGCACGGGCAGCAAAAATGGCTGCGCTATGGAGGATCTTCGCTGGATGGTGAGTTTCAAGCCCACAGGAACGCATTAATCGGGTTTTAATGTATTTCTATGGGCTTTTTAATTTCGCTTATAATGTTTTCGTTCTACAGCGATTTCGCTGGAACGAATTAATATTGTAATGCGAGGCACCACTGTACATCATGCGAAAGGCTGGCCTGGAGGAATCCCAAACCAGAATTAAGATTGCCGGAAGAAATATCAACAGCCTCTGATATGCAGATGATACCATTCTGATGGCAGAAAGCGAGGAGGAATTAAAGAACCTCTTAATGAGGGTGAGAGAGTGTAAAAAATGGACTGATTCTCAACATCAAAAAACTAAGATTATGGCCACTGGTCCCATCAGCTCTTGGCAAATAGAAGGGGAAGATATGGAGGCAGTGACAGATTTTACAGTTGTGCCTCACTTAATTATTACCTCGTTAAACGACGAAGCCGCTTGACGATGAGGTTTTTGCGTTCGCAAATTAGGAAATAGGAATTTTTCTAATAGGAAAAATTCGATTCACAATGATCGGTTCCCTGCTTAGGTACACAGCACCCATAAAAGAATCCCTCAAAATCACATCCAAATGGACAATTTTTTTCCTGTCAGCTGTTTTTCTGTACAGTTCTCACATTCATACGAAGTAAATGAAACTACCACAGTATGGATGACCTTGGATGTGGTCTACAGCAATACACCCTTATGCCTCAAGATACTTCACAGCTACCTTTCCAATCTTTCTAATTTCTTGCCTGCAATCTCCATTTAGAATGATTATAGAGCAAATGTATAGGAAAAAAAATAAAATTTCCATTTTCTTCACTATCATTAAATTATGTTATTCTTCTACAGCCATTATTTTTGCCTTCTTAGAGTATAACTGTAATCCTGCTTTTGCACTTTCTTTGTTGACCTTCACTTCACTTGTTTCAAATCAACGTTGTATTCTGCCAGTTAATATAGTGCCATCTGTATTTCTTACTGATGTTTCTTCCACCATTTTTACTACTTCTTCTGAATCTAACTCAACATTTCATATGATATATTCTACATACAGGTTGAACAAACATAGACCATATCTGGCATGTTTGGAGATGCAGTAAAAGTAGTGCCTCAGTATTAAACTTCTTGAGTAGTAGTGTGGACTGAACAGAGAACCAACATTCACAACACAATGAAAATAACACTCATTAATCAAGGTAACTTATGATGACATTTTCCTTTAAGTCAGTGTCTTATTGACTTAGTACTTTTAATTATCAGCTATTCTTAGGAAGACAGTAAATAAGTAAGGAAGCAAGTAAGTACATTAAGTAAGGACAAAAGGATCTCTAGACTTATGAAGATAATGCAAAAGTTGAGCTGTCTTTTAAAATATAGCAGAGTCCTGTAACCTTATTAATCCTTACAGAATTCTAAAGTATAATATTAAGTTGCCTTCCTACCTAAATTCTATGCCTTTGCCTAAATGATAAAGAAAAATATATTTATTGAACATACCTTCTAAATAAAAAATATGCCTATTATATACAGCAGCCACTTTTTGTCAAAATTGTGCATAATTAATGTAACCAACCCGGAAAAATGCTCAACAAGCACATAATATAGCTGCTCTTATAATACTTCCTCTTGTAAGTTTCCTCATCAGGCTGTTTCCAAAACAGTCTTATTACATGTTAACTTATCCATATCAGATAACCAAGTATAAGTATCAGTGAATAGCTACATGAATATTACCTGCTCTCAAAGGCTTGTAAAGGTCATTTGATGGTGTCCTTTGCCAACGTTCCTTGAACTTGTTTTTCAGCTCATTGTCTGTTGCTTCTTCTTCATCCAACATCCTTAGAGACTAAAGTTGTTATAAGAAAATATTTCTAATAAAAACATTTTCAAGTCATAGAAAAGAGAAGTCGGAATTCAGACTAAATGAGATGAACTTGGCTCCCACTAAATTAACATTAATTTACAGCTGGAAATCTAAATGATTTTACAGAGATCCCAGTTCCTTAAAGCTAGTCAATCCAGTGTGTTTAAACTGAAATGGATCAAATGATTCTTTACAAGCCTATCTCAGTGAGCACAAAAGCAGCAGAAATCTATTCAGCAGCCATGCTAAAGTGAGTGGGCATGTATTTATGCATGTGTTTCCTTGACACGCACTGGACTCTTATAATCTTCCAAACAGAAAATCGGTCATGTACAGCCTATGCAAATTTGACACCTTCCAAATGTTTCATAGATCAAATGGAATTTCCATAAGACCCAGCGAAAATAGCAAATAAGGAGGAAAACTGAGAGCTTTGATCCAAAACATCTGAAAGCCACCAAGCTGAAAGAAACTGATACAGTATCTTCTAAATGGAATGTGGTATTGTTGACAACATATTGTGCTCTGTTTTTGCTTAAAAGAATAACAGTACTGCAAATTTACCTCATCCAGAATCTCTCTGTTTCTCTGCAGTAGTTCAGGAAGATCTTTCATCAATTGATCAATTGTTTGGACACCTCCCTGTTCAATCACAGACTTAGACTTTTGCAGAATGGACTGAGGAATACTATCCCCGGAGACATCCTCAATAGCAGCAGGAAGATTGAGGGAAGCCAGCACTCTGGCAAAAAATCGTTAACATTTTATTTTCTATCATGCAAATGGACAGCTAATATTCCAGTTTAACAAATGATTTAAAAATGATTCTTTGTAAGTCCTCTGTCCCTGCCACCCCACTCTATCACAGCCAGAATCCTACTGAGACTGCACTGAAGTCCCACCAGTGTAGTAATGTGGGATTATGTTAGTAGCTCCATGAAGAAAGCCTACCTTCTGTTTCTACATGACCAATGCTTTGTGCATACAACATGATTCTTGTCTTGCTACACTGGCAGGAGTTTCTGCTTAGCAAGGCTCATCAACAGGATACTTACCTAAGTATCTTTTCAGGTAAAAGCCAATTTACTGATTCAGTGAGAAGTACGCTTATTAACTGTACTTTCAGCTACTTGCAAATTTACTTGGCAGTGTCACTGCTAACAGAAGATTACTTCAGATGACTGTTCTTGAACTCTCAGAATATCGTAGCCACATATAAATTAAAAAGCCACCAAAACGTATTTAAACAAACTGAACTTCATTTTCCCCCTTCAGCATGGCATGCTAAGAGAAAACACAGGCCTAGTTAGCTGCATGTTAGTATTAATTAATTCAGTCTAAGTAGTTATAATCAAGCAACTGATTTAAATAGGCATTAAGTAGAACTTAAGCTAAATGTAAGCCACTATATCACATCAGGAAAGAACAAGCAGAAGTCCACTTGTACAATGAAGTTTACTTGGCTCCTCTCTCCACAACCCACTGCTCCTTACCCAAAACCACTCATGAGGGCCAACAGATATTTTGAAACAGGATGGGACCAGCCATAGGGAATAATAATTCAAAAAAGGAGGGGGGGAGTTGGAAAAATTTGATGAGGCTACCCTGGTCAAGTCCTCTTCTGTTTGTACCTGTATCTCTCAAACCACTCATTTTCATAGAAGGCAGACATGAAAATTATCAGCTTACCCATTTGCCAGATTGGTGGCCTCTCTCATCTGAGCGATTGATCTATTAACCAGGTCTGCTTTTCTTTGGTTGTACAGTGTAAGAGCTTGCTGCACTGCCAGCGGAACCATCTTTTCAAACAAATCTGTACAAGCAAATAACATTGTTAAGGATAATAATTCTACCTGATTTTCTCAGAAGCTTTTATCTGGAAAAGCTCTAACAGAGTTTTCTAACAGGAAAGCTTCCATCCCAAAACATCAAGTTTCACACAGAAAGACTTCAATGGGTAAACTTACCAATAGTCCTAAATTTCACTTTAGAATTACATACAGCAGTAGGATTACATGAGTGTACATGCAAAAATAGGTCTTCATCGATGGTGGAAAACTGAGCTCACATTCCTACCTGCTGTTACCAGTAAAGGTAGATACAGTAAGATTCTTCATAGCTAGTCTGATCTTGTTCTGAGCCCATGATATACAAACCAAATTGAGTAATAAATTATTTTGAATATGGTCAAGCTTCCTGGAATAGCATGATACTGTTGTGAAGGCTGTGGAAGCAGACAGTTGCACAACATGGAGGCAATGGCACCCTGACATTCCACATACTCCAAGGCAGACATGCAGCTATTAAGATTGTTTACAGGTTAAGTTAAGTTAGGCATTCTTCAGTCTCGAAAGACTATGGTAACGTGCTCTGTATGGAGGACTTGGAACAGCGCCTAGTGTGGCTGAGAAGGCCAATTCGAGAGTGACAGTCCCTTCCACACTGAAGACAAATCCAGTCTGTCCCCTGTCCGGCTCCCTGGTTTTGCTGCTTTTGTGACTTCCTCTTTGCCTCGGCCTGCTGGACAAGGGTCTCTTCAAATGGGGAGAGGCCGTGATGCACCGCCTGCCCCCAGGCTAAACGCTCAGATGTCAGGGTTTCCCATCTGTTGATGTCTATTTCTAAGGCCTTCAGATCTTGCTTGCAGATGTCCTTGTATCGCAGTTGTGGTCTCCCTCTGGGGCGCTTTCCCTGCACTAATTCTTAGGATTTAGACAATGCTCTGATTAGCAGACTATATGATATATTCATGCTATTCACTAGCATGAATATATCTAGTTGGAGCAGCTTCATCACATAAAGGATGATGATATCATCAGCCAGAGTTTTTAATATTTATTGTAATTAAAATTAAGAATACTTATCCATTCAGATTATGAAGTTCCCCACAAATCCATTTTGCCCTGGGGAAGCCTTTGGGTGAGTGGGGAGCCTTTAACACCAGAAAACTGCTGGCAACAGTCACAATTCAGTGGCGATTTTCTGATTTTAAAGGCATTCTAAGGCTCCTAAAGGTTTCCTAGGGCCAAATCGATCTCTAGCGAACCCTGAGAAACTGAAGAGGGGGACACAGAAAGTTTTCAATGTCATTAGAATAAGAATTAAAGGAACAAGATGATGTGGTGCAGTTGTGCCTACTTGATTTTATTCACTGCCTGTCAGTACCTAGTAGTTTTTGACTTTTTCTTTTTTTCAATAAAGGACTAACAAAACTTTCAAGAAATGAAAAGATCATAAATCAAACAGACCAATCTTTCAAGGACAGTTTCTAGTCAGCTGGCTAGCACAACGGTTGTGTAGCCAGAGGTTAGGAGTTCAATTCCCTACCTGAGAAACCCTGAAGAGGATCACTGTTAAGTCAGAATTGATTTGATGGCATACAATGATTAATACATGACATTTATTATGTTGCACAGTTTATTACTGCTTGTGATGCTTAGGAACCCTTACCTTACATTCAAGAAAAATAGCTATTAAATATTTTTAAATGGTAAAAACATTAATTCAATTATTGAAATCATATGGTAGTGTTAGATTACAATAATATTTTCTCTCACCAGTAAATTTCTGACTCAGAGGCACAACAACTGGAGTAGCTTTTACAAGACTGGCTTTCCCAATGGGTTCTAAATCTTTGAGGTCTGGAATTCTATCATGATAGATGAAGTCATTGTCCTTCTTAGCAGCTGTAAGTGCACGACTGATTTTGTCAGACAAGTCTTTTACGTTTATATATTCATCGTATCGAGATGCCACTGTTTTTACGAGATCAGTTGCATGCTAAATTAAAAATAAAAAAAGATGAAATTAATAGCCACTTTCTAATACCTCTGCTATAACTGGAAGGCACAACCACTTCTGCATGAAGTAATGTTTCTGTTGAATATTATGTAATTATAATTATTTTTGCTAGAAACATACAGTTATAGAAGGGACATACATCACACAATGGTACATACCACTATGCAAAATTTCTGTCTTAAACTTTTACTCCAACGTCTTCTAGTATAATGCTCATTTTTAACATATTTAACACCTACTGCTTTATGCCCTACAGATGCTTCCCAAAGGGAAGATCAATTTCTGTTTCAAAGTCAAATTCTCTAATAAGAATACTCAACAATAACCTCCAAACATGCACACTACCTCCAGAGTATGAGATACTCATTATGTTGCAGAGTCATTTATCATTTTTAAAACAATGTATTCACTGCAGAAACATGTTTTTCTGGGAGAAAAAGAGGAACAGACAGCATGAAGAGACAAAGTTTGGTATTATGCACAGAGAAACAGGTATATAACTACACATTTATTCATATTTTCTTCATCAAAATAAAAGCCAATGGGGTGTAGGTCATCAACACCTTGAAGTATGATGTCTGTAGAAAAGGATGACAAGGCATCAGTGATGTATGCCTTCCTTTTTCTACTACACTGCTCTCAGAATAGTGGCCCAGAATATGCTGGAGGTCCCCAAATGTTCTATACAGTATAAACCTTTGACATGCTCAGTATTTTTTACTTATGTGTATTTAAAATGTTATAAAAGATTATTAGTTGAAAAAAGGAATATACTGGTCTGATACCACACTATAATGTCAGATCAGAAATGGAAATTCTTGTTAAATCTGGCTTTTAAGCAAAGAAAATGAAGTTACTCACTTGCAATCTTGCAATTTCCTCACCAAATTTCTTCTGTTGCTTTGCCAGTATAGATTGATGATATTCAGCATTTGCCTGCATTATGCAATGTTTTGCAGCCAGAAGAGGAAACACCTCCTGGAAATAAAAATACTGACCAGGGGAAAAGTCCAACCACATAAACCATCACAGACAACATGGGATGCAGGAAGAAAGAGGAAGAAGAACAGATATTAGCATCACCCAATTAATGATTTAGGTAAGTTAAGACATGCAAAGTGGAGTACACCCAGATGGCCTTTCTATGGATTAAGCTTGGTGGAAGTATGAGTACTGCTCTGTATATTTGAAAATAGGACATTTATAATTGTTTTAAGATTTTTGATTGACCTATTGTAAGTCATTTTCTAGTCAAAGAATTTTTACTTTAACAAGGCTTAGCTACATCAAAGTCAGTGGGTGCACCAACCATGACATAATCAAACACACAAAGAAATCTGAATTATGGGAAAGCCAGGGCTTGTCAGTCATCACTTTAGGGCCAGTTCACCCATGTATCTATACACCCTTCTTCCTTTACATGGCAATTACCAAAAATGTTCAAGCATGTAACTGAACTGAAAAAGCTAATGTGTGCTCTGTGTGGTACAGAAAAAAACAAAAGTGCACATTTAATACTAAATCTAGTCCACATAAGGAGAAACACGACGGTAAAAGATGACACTTTCCACTCACTTCCCCACCTATACGAATAGCTGCAAATGGAAAGGCAGAACAGCAGAGAGTCAGCCATTCTAGAACCTTTCTCAAATCTGCCAGTTATCCCTCTTTCAAATCTTCAACACAGCAATGCCCACCTGCAAACTGAAGTCACAAGGCTGCTCTGGATAATTTTGCTGCACATGAGAACAAGGACTGCAAAAATCAGTATGATTATGTTAAATTCAGAAAACCAGTTTATGCTTAAGACCTACCTAAAAAACAAGTCCCATACACTATCACTCATAGTTGAGAAAATATTCAACGAAATCCATAAAATAATGCCAGCAATCAGTTACATTGTGATAAGTGCAATGGAGTAAACTAAAATTACAAATAGGTGACAAGCTGACTCTTCTATTCCTGGCTGCTCACTATGCACACAACTTAGTGCACAATGAGGAATACAAACTGCTGTAATTTTTGTCACAGTGCTTATGCTGGTGTAAATAACAGGCATGATTCTGAGCAATAATCTTAGAAGAACTTCCCAGCAAACGTGTTATGAGTAATCAGACAATTTAAACAGGGGCAGGTAAGCCTCCAAGCGTCACCTTCCCAGATCCAGCATACCCAACTCCTCTATAATTTCCCTCCACTAAAAAACACACATGCAAATTTAAAGAAAAATCAGTATCTTATTGTTTTATTAAGTTAAGAATGTAAAGTTCTGTTCAAGTGAATTGAAGCAACAACCATGCTGGGAAAAGATAAACAGAACCCTTCTGAAATTACGTACTAATATCTTAGCAGCAAATGCTAACCAAAACATCACAAAAGTATATACTTCTCCACCGAAGGAATCTGCACCAACCAACCAAAACCATAGAGCATCAATGTTTAGGAATTAGAATATTCACACATCCTAACATTTCCACTTTTATATGGACTATAGAGTTAGAATTTTACTTAAATAATCATCCACAATGTAAATACAACCATTTTTAATTTTAAATATGGTTTATCTGTAGTTCCGATTTCATTCCCTGAAGTTAAAGAGCAGCACATCCATACTATCATCAAACCTAACTGAAATATGTTTCTTTGGTTAGGTTAGAGAGTGGTTTAGTAAAGACAAACGTAATCCATCAGGAAGCATGTTAATTTCAAATCATTTTAGTAAAAGAATCAGTAAGTCCACATCCCTGAACAGACAGGCAGACACACCCTATGTTAGAACTGAATAAAATCAGATACTCTATTGAATAATATAATTTAAATATCAAAGCAACAAGACTGGAATGAATCCATGCATTCCTAGTTTTTTATTTTTAAAAAAATTAGGAAGCACTTCCTAATTCAAATTAATGTGTTGTCACTTGAGATCTAAATATATCACCTCACCCCACCGCATCTTCTAACCATCTAGCAAGGATGACCATGTATTTGAGAATATAACTGACAGCTTCAAATACATATTCCTCTCAACTCAAAGCAAATTACAACCACTTTGACACAGTCTTTACTGTGAAGCTACTAACCTTGGGCAAGGTATCTTTGTATTGACACTGTTTGAATGCATCACCATAATAATCAGCAGCTTGATTTGCCAGTTTAGCTATAATGGCATCTTTCATTTTATCTAAAACAAAATATGAACATCTATTGAACTGGTGTCAGTTTGGGGAGAAAAATCATAAACAAGCAAACAAAATAACCAGAAATACAATTCAGACCCCAATATCCTGAGAATGTAAACTTCTCAATATTTTTCCATATACTAAAACAACCACAATATTAGGTTTTCTAAATTTATGTAACATATCTTAGAGTAGCACATTCAAATCTCAAGTCCTAGAGAACCAGATTTCAAGAAAATGCATAAAACGTAATTTTATTTTAATGGCCAAACCCTGTTACAGTCATTCCTGTGGAAAGCAAATAGCTTTACTCACATAGGCTTCCCTCTGACAATTAATGAGGGGACCTATTAATTGCTAGCAAGAAGTCAGTACAAGTTCCCCATCTGCCTTCTGCAGGTATAGCTTACAAAATAGGACTTTGGCCACTGTCTCCTTCATGTAACACACTCTGACATGAGAATCTAGTCAGCAGTGATTGCCTTGCATGCAGATACTGAATATAAAAGGATCTGCAAGTTCTAATTGTGTGAGTTTTGAAACACAAGCTTAAATTAACGTGTTCATTAAGCTGTTAACGCTGCACTACAGTACAGAAGTCTGAAGACTGTATGGCAAATATCCCAAGAGACATCAGTGTGTAAGGCTAATGCCGATCAGTGTTCTTCCTTCCTTTCTACCTCCACAAATGCATGCTTCATATGTTATTGCTTTTCATGTTTACTAATCACCAATATTCTGTAAAAACATTTCTGAAAATGTATTTGTAAAATATAAATCCCATCTATGTTGTTTCTATTATTTCATGGGGACATTTTTAATATTTTAAATATTCTTTAAAAGTAGCTGTTCTGACCATTTCTGTGTAGGGGCACTTTTACCCTATTTTAAATAAAAACCATAGGATAGCTCTACTAACTCTACCTCTAAAAACATCTTGGGGCTGTACTAGATTTGTAGCTCTGCTTATGAAAAAATCTGCACATTGCTTTTCACAAGCTCTGTTTCTTCTGTACAATCAATGATCTATACAAATCATTAACATTAGAAACAAAGAACGTAACAGATAATTCCACAGCTAACAAAAAGTTTTTAAATCTCCAAAATCCAGGTACTATATGACACACCTCTGGTAGCTTTTAGGAAAAAGACTTCTTGAGCTTGAGCCAGCATGATAAGACTGAGAGTGCCAACTGTATCTGGAGCGATGTCCACTGTAGGTTCTCGGTTTAGCGAGGAGAGGACTGTATCTTTAATGTGCTGGAAGGCACCACTAGCAAACTTGATAGAAAAATATATTATAGATGAATATACTACACCACCATCAAACACAGCATCAGCACCTATGTAGCATGTTTAAGGCTCTCCTAATATTTCATTTAGCAAAAGAGAAAAATATGAGCAATGCTAAATAGTGTGAAGCAAACAAAGCTCTGATTTTATATATTAACCCTCTTTATACAATCTAATTTCATGGGCAGGGTCCGCTAATGGACTTCTATTGATGGGGCTCAGGAATTTAAAAGAACTGGTAGGTGGGTGATTTCCCACTCCAGTTCCTCTGTGATTCCAAATCTGGTTTTCAGGGGCAGGGGCTCAGAAACCCCCAGAGCTAGTTTCTCGGAAGCACAAAAGGGATCAGGGCAAGTTCCAAATGTGTTACTAGAAGATCATTATATTTATACCAATGCCATTTAAGTCATCAATGTTCCAAGTGGATGGCAGCCTTACAACTATCCAATTCCTTAGAATTACATACGATTTTCCAACAAAAATGTTGTATCTTAAGAGAAACCATGGCATACATGGGTCCTTTTTAATGAGAAAAGTGGGACAAAAATATTTTAAATAAACAAATTAACAAATCACAGTGGTGCCCTGCATTACGACGACCCCGCATTATGACGAAATCGCTTGACGATGACTTTTTTGCGATCACTATTGCGATCGCAAAACGATGGTTCCTGTGAGGTTTTTTCACTTTATGTTGATTAGGTCCCTGCTTCGAGAAAACGCTTGTTTGCAAAACAATGTTTTTTCTGGCTCCGCAAAATGGCTTCCCTTTGCAAAACGACTGTTTTCCGGACACCTGCTTCCGAAGACAGCGATTTTACACAGCTGATCGGCAGTTCTCTATGGGCGATCTTCGCTGGACGATGAGGTATTTCCCCACTGGAATGCATTAACCGGTTTTCAATGCATTCCAATGAGTTTTTTTCGCATGACAACGATTTTGCTGTACAGCGAATTTGACAGAATGGATTATCATCGTCATGCGGGGCACCACTGTAAATAAACACAAATCTACAGAGAAATAGATTTCTCAGCTTCTGCAAGATTGCTACCAAATTTTTCAGACAGAACAGACTTCACTGCCTGACACTGTGATGAGAACTTGGTAACACTGTACTTTGAGTTACACTATTATGGAGAAAATAATCATATGCTAAGGAAATAAGCAATTGGTATTTATTTATTGGATTTCTATCCCGCTCATCTAGACCAAAGGTCTACTCTAATATTTTCAAAACTTTTTTTAAAAATCAGTCCATCTATGTAACTGCATTTGGTCACTACACATAGAACCCAAGAACTTCTCCAAAGGGTCAAGAAAACAGTGGTCCTTAACAGAAGATTCTAACCTGATTTTCATTTCTGCACTTCATTTCATTTCAACTAAAATAATACTTTTTGCTGTTTAGTATATATTTAATATTGCCGTGATGTCTGTGTGAATGATTAAGGAAACTATTTAGTATTATACCAAATCAGTACAATGTCTTACTATTCCATAAGACACTTTAAAAATATAAGATGTACCTGAACAATCTGTGTGTTCCTTAGCTCAGATGCTTGAAAATGTGTACATGACAGTCTCTTTATAAGGTTACTTCATTTTAAAATTAGAAAAATTTGATATGTAGGCTGACATAATAATCACTAACCTGACTAATATAAATGTTCATCCCAAATTACTTCCCAAACAATCTAAAATTCTGGGAGCAGGAACAATCTTACGATACACAGCTATAATTTCAATTCTGTATTAAACATAGAAAAATATCATACCTGGTAATGCTTAGCAGCAGCTTTTAATCCTTCATCACTGTCAAGATTCTGTTCTGAAGCTATCTGGCTAGCCAATGCTGCACAATTGAACAATACACAGGTCTTCTCATAGCCCAAACTTGCCAGTGCTGGAAGAAGGTACATACAATAGCTTTCATAACCACAAATCAAACAGTCGTGATTTATCTATTAGAATTTTGAAAATCTTAGATGTTAGTACTGTATGGCAGTACTGCCTGATACATCCAGTAGTGATGTATGGAAGTGAGAGCTGGACCATAAAGAAGGCTGACCGACGAAGAATTGATGCTTTTTAATTGTGGCACTGGAGGAGATTCTTGAGAGTTCCCTGGACTGCAAGGAGATCAAACCTCTCCGTTCTGAAGGAAATCAACCCTGAGTGCTCACTGGAAGCACAGATCCTGAAGCTGAGGCTCCAATACTTTGGCCATCTCATGAGAAGAGAAGCCTCCCTGGAAAAGACCCTGATGTTGGAAAAATGTGAAGGCAAGAGGAGAAGGGGACAACAGAGGATGAGATGGTTGGACCGTGTCATCGAAGCTACCAACATGAATTTGACCCAACTCTAGGAGACAGTGGAAGACAGGAGGGCCTGGCGTGCTCTGGTCCATGGGCTCACAAAGAGTCGGACATGACATTACAACAACAACTGCCTGATTCGCATGGTCCTGTATTCTCAGGTGGGAACCATGACAAGGAATGGTTTTGAACAACTCAGCTTAGTTCATCAACTAAAAGCTTTCATGAATCAACTAAACTTGCTAAAAGTAATCCATGTCTTAGATACGTCATGCCTTATCTACAGGAATGTACCATAGGTTGGTCAACATTTCAAGAGGATCTGCAGTCTTCAGTTGATGCAAATTGTTTACTGGGCCCAAACAAGGTACAGCATTAAGCCTCAAAGCACTGAGTACCATGGGGCTGGGGACTGCATACTGAAAGTAGCATCTGTCTCATTGTACAGCTGGCAGGATGTTCAGGCCCCCAAGAAGTTCCTTTTATGAATACCAAGTTGCAGCAGCCTTCTTGCTAGGCATGCATGATAAAACTTTCCTCTGAATGGCCCCCAAACTCCCTTAAGTAGTTGAATTTCCAATGTTAATGATTTTACTGTTCCATATATCTCTCACTGCACACTAATTCTCGTATGACTAGCACACTACAAATGTTTCAAGTGAAAATTTATTAACCAGCAACAGCTGGTTGCTGCAATCTACGCTACCAGTATAAGTGACCAAAACATTCTAACCACATTCCTCTGCCCAATATACTTCAAAGGAGCCTAATTATTGTGTTCCTGATTTTCACTGGAAGGGGTTGCGTTCTGCTGTGGCAGAAACAGATACTGTTCTTATTTGGATAGTTTGCAGGCAACATGATATGTGGAAAAAAGTTGATACCTAGGGAAAACTGCAAGAATACTGTTTGCACCTACTGAAGCAGATTCTACCGAGAGGAGTAGGAGAGGGAAAAGGCAAAGGACAGCCTACAGCTGCTATTATGAGCCCCCCAAACAAAATCAGTCACCCAGCTGCCTTGTTCAGTAGTAACACTATGAAGTTGCAACAGGCAGCAGTAACAGGGTGTGATGCCTCTCTACCAAGGAAGTGGCAGAGAGGCCTCTAGTTCAAAGCATGAAAGATGTGAATGAATCTCAGACATGTTCCAATGATGTCACTGTGCAATCCAGCCATAGCAGGGGACAAAAAAGATGGTGACAAAGCACTTTTCTCTGACACCTGATGTGCCAGTGAAGACAAGGATGGCATCAGCACGCATACTGACACTATCAGTTGGGCTAGCTGTAGCAATGATGCTTTATAGCAGGGGTCCCCAACCCCCGGTCCATGGCTTGCGCAGTGGAGACAGATCTCCCTCCCACCCCGCATAGCCTCCACTTCAAGTAAAAACACATCTGAGGTGAGGGACAAGGTGGGCACTATTTCAGAAGAATGTGACACTGAAATCACCCCAGCCCCTCCAGCTGCACTTGCCCCACATGCTGCTGGAACTAGTAATGATGATGTTAGCAATCAGTGTTGGGAGCATTGTTCAGCTCCCAAGAAGTCAATAATATGGAAGCATTTTCAACAGTGCATAACAGATGCTCCCATGGCCAACATTTCAAGTTGCACTGCAGGAAAGTGCTCAAGCATAGGCAAGATTTGGACCTCTTCCCCAATAGTAGCATGCCCAGCTAGCTGATGACTCAGCACAGGGCATTACAGCTAACAAATAAAGTGGGTGCTATGGGGACAAGTGGCTTTCTTACTGTAAATGGTAAGAATCATCGAAGGGCAGGGGTTGAGCCACCAACCCAGGGAAGTGGAGAGGCAAGTAGTATGAGGTGGGAGGCAGCAAATGCCAAACCCATATCACATGTATAAGTTCCAGGCTATTCTGGAGGACCTTGGAGGGGTGCATCACCTAGGGGAGATTATAGACCTAGATGACCAACCACTATCTCTGATGGAGGACACTAGTTTCCATAGGTTTGTGGTAGAACTGGCACTCTATTACCAACTGCCATCCTGAATTATTCTTAGCCACAGAGTGGCAGTGGAACTGCTGTCTTGACCACCAATTAGTGTGCTCAGAGAGAGTGTTCTCTCAGGCAAGGGACATTGTCGGTCCACAGCACTCAGGCCTAGAACCTTCATCTATAGAAAAACTTGCTTTCCTTAAGGTTGACCTACCTGAAGTCCCCTTTAAGTGAGAGAGAATGGCACTCTCTGCTCAGTCTGCTGACCCATCCTTCTGCCCCTTTTATTCTTTCAACTGCTACTCCAAAATTATGCTCACTCACTCAACTGTGATGTGCTTCATGTTGCTGGCAAAATTCCTGCTCACCATAGGCTAGCTGCTGCTCCAATCTGTCTGCCAGTGCTGCCTAGCATATTTGCCCACTGCAACCTGTTTTCTTCTTCCCCAATGCTGCTGGCATTCCCACAGTTCAAGGCTCAACAGTATGCCCACTACAGTCATTTCCTAATACCTAGGCACTGGTGGCTGTTGGTGTGCACTCTTTTTATTCAGCACAATCATTAGGAAGGTGTCAGAAGACACACGGAACTCCTTTAAAAATGTTTAGCCTATTTGAGTTTAAGGGGAAAACAATAACTAAACAGTATTCATATTAACTGTAATTCTATTTTATCAACAAAACTATCACAGGTAGCAAACAGTTCTCATATAGCAACATTAATGTTTCCTGGTTAAATAGGATGGAACAAAGCAATGTCTAACATGGAACAAATCAGGTTGGATTTGATTTAAATCGAACTGCTTTAAATAAAAAAAATTAGGATTTTTTGACAATTTAAATCATAATTTAAATAAATCTGATTTTTAAAAGCATCATTGATCTTTATCTATGCTAAAACAAATTTTCCTTCCAACTACACCTCATTTTTTCAAACTTTACTCCCTCAGGTAATGTTGCAAACTTTCACAATAGAGAACACCAATTTGGACCTCTCTTTTTTAGGCCACATTTTCTGCCTTCTAAAAAGCAAAGAACCAGTCCTCTTTCTGGTACTCAAATAATCTGAGCAATCAATAAAAGCAGACGATGATTTTCAAATGCAACTTTCAAAATTATTGCTGATGATGTAATTCAAATATTACTTTGATTTACCCTAGTTTTCCATTTCACAGCTCTATAAAAAACTATTAAAATATTTGGTTTATGCAAGGACTGCCTAGCCCTGCCACCTCCACTGTGGCTTCCTCATGTCTGAAGAGAGTCTACACACAAGCAGGCATTTATTACTGGACTTGTCAGTTATCCCAAAAAGAAAGCAGAAGTGCACAAGTGGCTAGGTGCTCCCCTTTAAGTACACTGAATAAGCTAGATACTGAACAGAGCAAAAGCCTGTTCTATTTCTGTTCCCATGGTCACCCTCTTACCAAGTTTAACAGATCCTCCAAAGAGTGACCCTTTGTCAAAAGCATCTTTCCATGTAAAAGTTACACAAATCTGAAAGTATAGGAAAAATACATTAATGTATGTTCTGTAAAGTTTTTCTAAAAAGAAACATGCAATATGAAGTATAAACAAACATCTCCATCTTACCTATACATGAAAATATTACTGATAGTACAAAAAACTGCCAGAAGAAAAGCCAGTTAGGTAAGAGAACACTATGAATACTAACAAGCGAACATCAATTGATCCTGTCAGCACAAGACATTTTAGTGTACAGATTTCACAACAAGCTAATAATAACAGGGTTGTTTAAGCAAAGTTAAGGCGTCTGTCATCCCAGATTTTAGTGGAGAGTATTTAAGAATATAGTTACAACCATCAGTAAGACTAATGAGTTCAAGAGCCTTGGCTGAATTATGCTCATTCTTTTCAAGTGTAAGTTTTTGTAGCTATAAATCATTAGTACTGTTCAAGAAATCAAGCTATAATGGCTTACAACTCCAATCTATATAATTAGATGAATGATCCAAACTGACATCCAAAGAGGACCAGATTTGTATTCAAAGACTTTTAACACATAGCAAAGCAACTTTTAAGAGGTAAAATATATTACCTGATTTTCAGAAAATGGAAACTTTGGCTCTATGGAGCACAGCTGGTCATAGTATCTGAAATTTATAAAGAAAAAGAACAGCATAAGTGTCTATGCTATACAATAGAACCCCTGTACCTGTGGGATCAGTATCCAGTTTCACTTATCCACCATCTGAAAATATTATGGAATACTATGGAAAGCCTGGTGGCGTCGGTGGTCCGAACCGCCTTTTACCATCTTAGGCGGATAGCCCAGCTGCGGCCCTATCTCGATGTGGGGGCGCTCACTACCTTGGTGCATGCGCTCGGAATCTCAAGATTAGACCACTGCAATGCGCTCTACGTGGGGCTGCCTTTGAGGCTGCTGCGGAAACTCCAGGTGGTGCAGAATGCAGCGGCCAGACTTCTCAGTGGTGTGAGAAAATACCAACCCATCTCACCCACTCTGGCCACATTGCATTGGCTGCCCATACGCTTCCGCATTGACTTCAAAGTCTTGATGCTTACGTATAAAGCCCTAAACGGTTTAGGGCCTCGATACTTGGCGGAATGCCTACTCCCACCAAGATCTACCCGTGTCACTCGCGCGAGTCAGGTGGTGAGGCTGAGGAGCCTAACGCCGAGGGAGGTCCAGAAGGAAAAGACAAGAAATCGGGCCTTCTCCGCGGTGGCTCCTCGCCTCTGGAATAATCTACCTCCTGATATCTGCGCGGCTCCCTCGCTGGGTATTTTTAAAAAGCAACTAAAAACATTGATGTTCCGGCAGGCCTTCCCCTCAATCAATTCCTGACCTCCCCTCCCTCTCCTCTCTCTACTCTTTGTCCTATCTTGTTGAAAGTTTTTTCTTTATGTAGTATTGTTTTTATATATATTGCTGTATGTTTCTTGTAAGCTGCCTAGAGTGGTCTTAACCGACTAGATAGGCGGGATATAAAATAAATAAATAAATATTACATGGGAAAATGCAGAAATATATATTTCCACAATGCAACTACCAGAAATGACCACTGGCACTATTAAGTCATGTTGCCTTTCAGGTACAGAAAGATCAGGAAATATGTAACTATAGCCTTTATAGAAGTATTTTCAAACATGGCAAGGTTATGAAACAACTAAGGAGTTGTAAGTGTTTCACAGGACAAGCTGAGTCACTCTACATCAAGAAGTCGGGAAAGCAGACACAGACTGGTTGATCCATGACCCTTCCTAACCAATTTCCCCACAACAAGCTTCTATACAGATTCTGGACCCTCCTTCCCATCATATTCAGTGTTCCTTCTCACCATCTTGTTTCTCTCGCCTTCTAATTACTACTAATTAGAAACTACAGCCATATAGGGTTTTGTGTTAGAACACTTGACATATTAAAGAAAATATAAATTATTTACACTTGTTACCTATGTTAGTTGGTTTCCATGTAACAATAGTGGGGGAGGCTTTGGGGTCTTTTAAGTTTATATTAACACGAGTTTTCTTCACTTACAAGGTATGTTCATCAGACATTTTTAGTAGTACCGGACTTCCGCGTGCCAGTGGAAGAAAAACGCTCCGCAACACTTAGCTATCTGATCACTCTTGAGAGGGGGGCAAATGGTTTATGCATCTGGCTGCTGAGCCAGAGATTGGGAGTTCAATTCCCCACAGTGCCTCCATGACAGGGGCCTGGACTCAAGTGATCTGTAGGATCCCTTCCAGCTATGCAGTTCTAAAATTGTTAAGATTAAAATTAGAGAAAGATGCAGGAACTGGTCTGTCCCCAGTCATTCAAGGCAATTGTAGTGATTCCCAGCGCAGGTTCGAAGAACAGGGTCTGCTCCGGATTAATCTCGGCGGATCACTGGCATTTTAAAAACCTAAGGATCGACGATGGCAGAGCGTGTGTGTGTCTGTGTGTGTGTGTGTCTTGGACGACTCTCTAAACCCAACGAAGAGAAAAAAAAAAGGACGAGGCGACCGGGTCGCAATCCCTCGCGGAGAACTTTTGTCGGTCTCCGCCACGAGGGGGCCGCCCAGAGCCGAAGCTCAACGACTCCCGTGCCGTCGTCCGTCCATCACCACCACCACCACCGGGCAGAGGTGCGGCCCGAACACAGCCTCGCCCTATTCTGCTCACCTTTCCCTTCCTCTCTCCCTCCCCACCCCCGCCCGCTCGGCTCCGCACCTCAGGAGGGTCTCGAGCGAACTCTCGTGCTTGTCCAAGGAGCGCCCGAGCGCGCTCTTGCGCAGCTTGTTGAGCTCCTCAGCGGCGCGGCAGTGCTCGGCCTGAGACTCGCCGCCCGGGTACGTCTGTTGGATGAACTTGCACAGGGGCTTGGCCAAGTCCACCTCCGAGGCCTTCTTCAGCTGCACCGTAATGAACGACGACGACGACGCCATCTTCTCCGCCTGCTCGGCAACTCCCGGCTCGTTCGCCTTTCCCTCCCACCCAGCCCCCAACTATTTTCCTCCTTCGACTCGGCGCCTCGACGCAGCGCCAGGCGACGTCCAACCGCTCCCCCAACTCACTTCCGGGATCTACGTAAAAGTTCTGGGTCTCTCCGGTTTCCTCAAACCAGCGGCGTCATGATCACGCGCCTGGCGCCTTAGGAACCCGCCCCCGCCCTCCTTGCCGGCGCCTCTCCGCTTCGCTCCGCCCCATCGCCTTTTGATTATTTCCGTGGCTCCGCCCCTTAGTCCGCAGCTCGCATTTTGAGCCTACTTCCGTACTCCGTCATTCCCCGTATAAGTGCAAGGAGGCGTGGCATAAGGGGGCAATTTTGTTGAAGGGCGGGGGAAGGCCCATTCGTAAACTTTCCTCTGGGGAGGGAACGTGTTGCTCTCTTTGCTAACCCCACTGAACTCAGAGATAATTATTTCTGAATAGGCACGCAAGCCACAGGCTTTCAAGAAGGAATAATGCTCATTTGATCCAATGTATGCCTCCCATAGCGTGGTCACTATCAAAGCTTGACAGTAGCCCCTATAGTAAACCTACTATGCTGTAGTCCCATGCACACTTACCTGGAAGTAAGCCTTGTTTGGAATCAGTAACACTTAACTGCTAGGTATATGCATTCACTGGATGTGTGTCCAAACTACTGTAGTCCTGTTTCTAAAGGAGCATGTTTTTAGAGTATAGTAAATATGGCTTCATGCTTGTAATGGAACAGTCAGATTAGGCATCCTTTAGTCTCTAGAGACTATGGCAGTGATGGCCAAACTTTTTGAGCCCGAGTGCCCAAATGGCAACACAAAACCAAATTATTTCTTTCAAAGTGCGAACACTGCAATTAAATCTGAATATTTATGTTTTAGTTTAGAAAAAACAAGTGATACAGTTGTCTGAATCATCACCTTTTGTTTTCAAAACATAACGAACTTTCAATTATACAAACACTTTTTACTGAAAAATAGTCACTAATTCTAGTAAATGGAAAGAAATATTAAAGTAATACAAGCAAGGAAATTTATACGAAGTTTTAAAATAATTATATGCATGTATTTTTGATAAGGGATACTCAACTTGGCATGCTTTTGCACAACGTGATTTTTTTATGTTGTATGCATGCCGATAATTTGTCAAACCATGGCCCATATGCTCTTAGTTTGAGAGCAACACATGCAGCACCCAGACAGCCCAGTTAGTGTGGCTGCTGACCTTGAGTCAGACATCCTGGAAAGTGAAGTCAAGTGGGCCTTAGAAAGCATGGCTAACAACAAGGCCAGTGGAGGTGATGGCATTCCAGTGGAACTATTTAAAATCTTAAAAGATGATGCTGTTGGAACAGGATTGGAACAGATCAGTCTACATCCCAATCCCAAAAGAAGGGCAGTGGCAAAGAATGCTCCAACTACCATACAATTGCGCTGATTTCCTACGCTAGCAAGGTTATGCTCAAAATCCTACAAGGTAGGCTTCAGTATGTGGACCGAGAACTCCCAGAAGTACAAGCTGGATTTCGAAGGGGCAGAGAAACTAGAGACCAAATTGCTAACATGCACTAGATTATGGAGAGAGCCAGAGAGTTCCAGAAAAACATCTACTAAATAGTTGTGTGCAACTGATGTAGAAGGAATAAATGTTTTTGTTTGAATTCCAAAGCCATACTTATGGTATGTTTTGAACTCCACAGTGAATGGAAAAATTGACTAACAAATAGTAGCACAGAAGTACTGTAATTAGGCAGCATGCCAGGCTATGGAATCTGCTAACACCTGGTACCAGAATTTGACAAGGATTTGTCAAGAAAAATAGTAAGCTATCTGCCAAAGAGTAGACTGAAATCCACAGCAGTAGTCCCATTTGTGCAAAATCAAGTTTATTTTTAGAAGTCTAAAAGATTAAGGCACCAGTTCTAAGGCATACCTCCTTTGGGATCCTGATGAGCTCACGAAAGCTCCCCTAAAGACTAGTATTTACACTATACATTATTAATTGAGAGTACTTCCTCTTCAAGACTTTGGATTAACAATCAGCCTGAAGAAAACACAAGTCATGGGCCAGGGCATGGAAACCTCCACTTGCTTTGTTGTTTCCAAGGCCCATTTGACTTCACTCTTCAGGATGTCTGGCTCAAGGTCAGCAACCACACTATCTGGGTTGTCCGGGATAGCCAAATCTTTCTGGCATAATTCCCCTGTGTATTCTTGCCATCTCTTCTTGATGTCTCCTGCTTCTGTTAGGTCCCTACCATTTTTTTCCTTTATTATGTCCATCTTTGCACAAAACATTCCTTTAATATCTCCAATTTTCTTGAACAGATCTCTGGTTTTTCCCTTTCTATTATTTTCCTCGATTTCTTTGCACTGTTCATTTAAGAATGCCCTCTTGTCTCTCCTTGCTATTCTTTGGAAGTCTGTGTTCAGTTTTCTGTAACTCTCCCTATCTCCCTTGCTTTTGTTTCCCTTCTCTTCTCTGCTATTTGTAAGCCCCCCCGATGGACAGCCACTTTGCTTTCTTGCATTTCCTTTTCTTTTGGATGGGTTTTGTTGCTGCCTCCTGTACAATGTTACGAGTCTCTATCCAAAGTTCTTCAGGCACTCAGTCCACCAAATCTAGCTCCTTAAATCTGTTCTTCACTTCCACTGTGTATTCATGAGGGATTTGGTTTAGATTATACCTGACGAGCCCAGTGGTTTTTCCTACGTTTTCAGTTTAAGCTTCAATTTTGCTATAAGAAACTGATGATCAGAGCCACAATCAGCTCCAGGTCTTGTTTTTGCTGACTGTATAGAGCTTCTCCATCTTTGGCTGCAGAGAATATAATCAATCTGATTTTGGTATTGCCCATCTGGTGATTTCCATGTGTAGAGTCGCCTCTTGTGTTGTTGGAAAAGAGTGTTTGTGATGACCAGCTTATTCTCTTGACAAAACTCTATTAGCCTTTGCCCTGCTTCATTTTGAACTCCAAGGCCAAACTTACCTGTTGTTCCTTTTATCTCTTGACTCCCTACTTTAGCATTCCAGTCCCCTAGAATTAG